TACCTTTTGTTTTTGTCTTGCATGCTTTTTTAGAACTGTTCATTGCTGGACTTGAGCACCATCGTCATGGTCAACTCCTCTCTGCATCTCAAGTCCGCCTACGTAAATGGTGAGCCACTGGGCAAACTGGTAACAGTGGAACAGCTGTCCACATGGAGGTAAGCGGTCAGCTGGTAGCATGAAATAAAACAGAAGCCGTCAGCGGCGTCATACCGCTCTGTAGCAATCATTGTAAAGACAAATGCAGCCATGCATACCTCCGAGTACATAATTCACACTCTGCAGAAATGTATACAGGGGTTCGTTTTCGCAAGGAGACTGTGTTGCAATTATTTGTGCATCAGTTATTACAGTTAATATTAACCAACTTATCCAGCATATGTTTTGCGCAGCGGATGCCCTTCCAGCTGCAACCCATCACTGGGAAATATCCATACACACTCATTCACACAATTTTAGCTTATTCAATTCACCTATAGAGCATGTGTTTGGACTGTGGGGGAAACCGGAGCACTCAGAGGAAACCCACGCCAACACGGTGAGAACATGCAAACTCCACACAGAAATGCCAACTGAGCCGAGGCGCCACTGCATCGCCCAAAGATTATACTTATACAGGCTTATTAAAACTGCTCATAAAAGCTGTTTATTCCATAGAGTGATGCCTCTCCTCCATTGACTTCTAATAAAACAAAACAGCGTCTGGTCCCCTTCCTCACAAACTTGCGTTGACGTTAGCTGTTACAAAGCTATTCGATTTTTTTTTTTAAGTGTATAGGGTGCGTTTAGTATTTTGCTGTTGGAACGGAAACCCGTGTTTGGATGGTTATTTTGGTTGAATCTGATCTAGATCAGCATCTGGTTTACACATTTGACGATGACATGATCAAACATGCACAGCAGAATGTTTCTGTCTCCTCTGAGCCCGTTTCTCTCCTCAGTTTATAAAGTCAGACTGATGGAGCACAGTTCGGCTGGTGCCAGCGGCTTATGTGACATCTGTAGGCCAAGTGACAGAGAAATCAGCTTGTCACATCCGTCCAACCTGAAGCAGTCTGACAGCGGAGCCCGAATTAGGACCGTCTCTTCTGCCCGAGAACATGTGGGACTTAATTAGGAGCCATTAAGAAGCGTGTGATTGTGAGTGTAAGCTGGTCAATAATGCCACGGGGACAGCTGATGCTCGGTGACCCTGAAACACCTCTGGTTTTAAGAGCATTCTTAATACAATCACCGATAAACAGTTTACTGTCAGTAACCCTTATTTTTACCTAGGGACATTATTGTTGTTCTGGTTGTCAAAAAGTCGTTCATTCCTGTAGAATGAACACATAACACACATGAGCAGGCATGACCTGGTCAAATCAGGTTGTGGTAGTTTATAAATGATAACTTTATCGTTCACACAAACTTGCACTGTTGTTTTTGCACGTCTACTCGTCCTCGTGTAGTCCAAACAGTCCTTGAGGGCCGGTGTCCTGCAAAGTTTACTTCCAACCCCAATCAGACACAGCCGGCCTACCTAATCAAGCTCTTACTGGGCTTTCTAGAAACACCCTTGCAGGTGTGTTGAAGCAAGCTGGAGCTAAAAAAAAGTTTTTGGTTACACTTTATAATAACTACACTCTATAAATCATTTACTAAGCATTAGCATCTAGTGCAGGGGTGGGCAAACTCGGTCCTGGAGGGCCGGTGTCCTGCACAGTTTAGCTCCAACCCTAATCAAACACACCTGCTTATAGATTTCTAGTGATCTTGAAGACACTGATTAGCATGTTCAGGTGTGTTTGATTAGTGTTGAGACCAAACTCTGCAGGGACACCGGCCCTCAAGGATCAAGTTTGCTCATCCCTGATCTAGTGAATTCATTATCTGTTAAGCATTAACTCTACATTAATAAACGTTAGTAAACAGTTTATAACTGCAGCTACATATGCTC